CAATACGTGGGTCGATGTCATTTATTGCTTGAAGCTCCAAAGCGAGATGGCTGGTAGCATGAAAGACCCGGGTACAGAAGTGCGCGCGACATGAAGAACGAGTGTATGCGAAGAAGGTACATGATGCGTCGCCTTGGGTATACCGGCCGCAATGCAGAGAGAGGAGAGTGAGCGACTAGGCAGAAGAGCCGCGCTCAAAGTGAAGCGCTTGAGGATACTTTTCGCTGAACCATTTACCCAGCTTGTCTGCAATGTATGCTTCATCATGGTTGATGTTATCGTTGAGGCAAAACAACGAAGGACTCTGAGCATCGATCTGCGCAAGGCTGTGGTCCGTACTGTTCGCGTCGGTCAATGTTTGGATGGCGATGGGACCGTCGGACACGGTGATAGCATAGTTGTACCGTGCGATCAGTCGAGTCGCAAAATCCCTCCTGCTCCTGCCTGCCCATCTTGTGGCGGCAGTCACATCCTTCAGCAGAAAGCTTGCGTGGTGAAAGTTGTCCACCAGCGGCAAGTGAGGTGGGACACCAGCTGATTCGGCCAGCGCGTTTACGTCTCCGGGCATCGTTGCACTGTCGCCCGGCAAAAACCCGCTGAGGCCAGATAGGCCGGATTGTTGTAAACGACTGAGCAAAACTTTGTGGTCACAAGGGGCGAACGTGACTGTCAGCATTATGAAGCTCTTCCGCAAAGTCTCGAATCTTAGACTCACTGCAATCACCACATCCCCAATGCTCGAAGGCGAGGCGCTTGAACACGTCGTTGACGTTGATACTCTCGTTTTTGGCGCGCTCAACGAAGGGCGCAAAGCAAATGGGGGCGATGCGACACGCTACCATTGACTTGCTCTTCTGCCAGCGACTCGGGTCGTACTCGGGCAATGGCGTCTTCACATTGTTGCGCTGCTCAAAGCCAATCATAGGGTAGCCGTCCGCGCTGGTAAAAGCGATCGACGCAGCTTTAGCTCCATTGAGGCCAGTAGCGAACAGATTCCGCGAGTAGGTGTCTTCGCCCGTCGTGGATTGCAAGGTGGTCCTTTGAGGGTATGTGACTTTGGCTTCTGTGTTTGCGCTTGCGCCCAGCTCTTCAAGCAGGGCCTGCCATTCCGATGGCGAGTAGAATCCGTCACCGTCCGTATCCATGCGTGCCACCAAATAGGCCCAGAGGAGGGCCTCTCTGTGACGCTCGACTATGGGGAGACAGGTTGGTCGAAGGTGTCAGGACGTGAGAAATCGGCAAGTGCCTGCACACACAACTCACTGTGGTATTGCGAGCTGGAAGATCGAGACGGCGAGAGGAGATGTTAGCTTCGAGCATCGATCAAAACGCATGATAGGTCCAGGTCTCACTTGATGAATGCAGCGTTGAGATCTTTCTTGGCTCTAAATTTGCTGAGCTGGCTGTCCTCGAGTTGTCTTCGCCAAGTCACCTTGGCCTCTCTGAAGACTGGGCCCACAAACACTTTGTGTTGATGTGCTTGGTACCATCTCCCGCGGTAGCCAAATCGCTCACTCATGAGCGCACTAGAGTAGTGCAGGCTGGCCCACTCTCCACCTTGATTGGGTGCGTCGAAATTGGGCGCGACTGTCTCGGTCTCGAAACGGAAGATCGGGCCATACAAAGGGGTGGCAAGATCTCCTATGCTCATGTCGTTGCCGAAGAATGTGTCGTCATTCTGGCAAAAATGACGGGCCTGTTAGCTGCACCATTGCGCGGCATGCCACGCCCGCAGGAGTCATGACTTACAGAGTAGAAGAAGGTGTCAGAGAGACCCGGCTGGTCACCAAGCATGGAGTCAATGACGTTGGAGTTGTACGTCTGCAAACGCTTGACCCTGCATGCGTACTGCTCAATTTGGTCGGTGCTGATGCTAGTGCGATCGTCAGCAAGCGCAATGTCCAGTTCACCGCGCGTTGAAGGGTCACGTCGAACGGTGCTGCTGAGCTCGGCTCGTGTTTGGCACAAGCTGGACCAGTGATGGTGCACCCTGAAGCGCTTGAGTTGCTCTTCGGCAGAGGTGCTAAACACCTGATTGCCGCTCGCAACAGTAGCGTGAGAGAGGTTGAGCCACTGCGGAACTTGCCCATCTCGAGCCCTCATAAACTCGTCGAAGAATACATCGGAGACTTGTTCTTCGCGATTTGAGGTGATTAGGGCGCGAGAAACCTCCGATGGTTGGGCTTGCGATCGAAGGCCTCTCCACACGTCGAGGGCAGTCGAAGCCGTTTTCAATAGTCGATTTGAGGTTCCTGATGAGGTCTTGGTCTGCGTTTGCACCTCGACTGTCTTCATGGCTTCTGGTGTGAGCAGAAAGTCTGTTGTAAGAAGGTGCACCTTACCAATACCAGTGCCAAGGTGTTTGAATGCTGAGCGTATCGAGTAGAGCAGCTCATTGTGTTCTCGGAAGCGACCGTTGTCATTGATGGATTCCTGCGTGAGAGACGCAAAGTCAGTGCAGGTACGAAGCAAAGCTGCTAATCACCCCTCCCGGCTCACCAAGATAGGCTTGTTAGCTGCTGCCCAAGACTCGTCGCGCATCAGCTCAGCGACAGTAGCGTTGCGTTGTAGTACATGCCGCGTATCGGATCCATTCACCCAGGTCCAGATACCGTCGATGCGTCCGAAACTGGACAGGTCCAACCCAGCGCAGAGCTCGCCATCAGCTACCCAGCGACTCAAGCAGCTCTGATGTGCTCTGTCGAAGCTTGCCTCCCAGCCGAGACGCTGGACGGCCGCTGCAGGCTGCTCGAGGCTGGACATGGATGCCCTCCACGCTGCTGCCTCCGCCAGACCCGCTTTGTTGTACTTGGCGGGCTCTGCATCCAATTCAAATTCCTCTGGTCCACCCAGAGCGCTGGAAGTCACCAGCAACGCGATGGCTAGCAATCCGCTCAGAACGAGAACAAGTCTTTTGATGGGAACGCGTCTGCGGCTTGGGTTTGTCCCTGTCCACAAGCGGCTGACAAGGAACTTCGAACGACAGTTGCTGGAGTCATCGAGCTTTTCACCTTCCGCGGGCCCTGACACGGGAAGAAGAGGAGCCACGTCCTCGGCAGCCCAAACGCTAGAGAAGCTGCGACTGCGTCTAGTCATGGTGCTGAGCGAAAAGTTGCGTCGAGCGAGAGATGGAGAGGCAATAGTGCGAGATGATTCGAAATCTTGAAGTGACTCCGTCGAGGTGTCCACTGAAATTTGGCTTGATCTCGAGGATGGCCGTGATCGCACAGGCGATTCGTCGTGAGTGGCAGCGCCACGAGACATGCCAGGTCGGTCTTGAAGGCTCGAAAGGCGCCGGACAGAGTGTGTGTGTGTGTTATGGAGCAAGAAGTGTGGTTTATGATGTTGGGTCGCAGAGATATTCCTGGAGTTGGAGGTGGATGAAAGGTTTTCAGGGCACGCTGCTTGATCTTAAGGAGCAAGACGGAGGAGCGTCTGGTCACGCCTTCTCTTCCACGAGCAGCATCACACGATCAACACCTGCAAGACCATCCCGAGCTTTTAGGGGGACTGGGTGGACTGGGAAAGATGGTGCAGCATGCAAGCACCAAGGGCCGAGCAACGCCGTAGCTGAGATTCAACGTCCATCAAACATGCCGTCGCTTCGATGCACTGATGATGCAAAGTCTGGCCGAGCACTGCTTTGGCTGGGTGCGAACAGAGCCCTGCCTTCTTCCCGACATCCGCGATTGCATTCAAAATTGTGTTGCCAAGGCGACCGCCAAACCTATCCAATTGAGGGTCCCAGAATGTGGCTTCGCCGAGCCGACGATGTACGTCGTGAGGCGCGATGCGTTGGGATGTCGAGCATCGCAGGCAGACGCACACACAACGCTTATGCACCTGCATCTCCCCGAGGAGTATGCAAGTCAGTCAGAGCAGATGCCTCGTGCTGCCCTTGTGAATCGGTGCATGGGGCGCTTGTCTGTGGATAGCGCAATTGTACCGAGACCCAGAATGGGAATTGCTGCATGCTGGTCAGCATAGCCAAGGGCTGGACGTGAGTCGATGGATGGTCGAGGTGTTGCATGCGCTCAGTGCGATTAGCCGCGGCTGCTTGCCTGCCTGCTGCTGATGCTGTCGTTGCCTCTTGCTGCTGCTGCTGCAAGCACGCGGTGGTGCTAATTGATGGTCGTGTTGCCATTCACGATTCACGCGTGCCTGAATCTTTCGTGTGGCTTTTCCCGCGCTCCCCGTTGGACTTAAGCGATGCACGCACGCATGTTCGATGGATGAAGCGCTGAATGCATGAAGCAGCTAGGCTTGCGTGCATGTGCATGCGTACCCGCGGATGTGCATATATTTATATCGGTACCGGTACACTCGATCGTGCCTGTCAATGGTAGCGGTTGCTGCATGCATGGAATCCTACTCAGCATGCAGCCTCAGCAAGCTGCCCGAGCGTGCAGCACATGACGAGTGAAATTCACGCGTGTCCAATCGGTGCTCCATTTGGAAAATTCGGACTCACGACTTGCACCACTCGTGACGTCTCGTCAACATCTGCATCGTTGATACATACGCTCTGACTACTCCTTGGACGCCCCAAGCAATCTTCACGCGAGCACGACGTTTGCGCAGGACCTCGGCAGGTACTCCCATGCATTGCGTTGTCGATATCGCCACACAACAAGGCCATGCGTTCGGCTGGATCGCGGGTGCATCAAAAGCTTTTCGCAATTCGCAGCGCTGCGCAGCTTGATCACGCAGAGCATCAGCGAGCTGGTTTCGCCCATGCCCGAGTAGCCGCACACAGCTTGGACATAGCAATCTGTTCGGCTTGCAACATAGCATTCAGAATGAAGCTCGATGGTTGTAGGTGACAGGTAAGAACACAGGAAAGATTCGAGAAAACAGGAAAAGAATGTCAAAGATGTGCAGAGGCCTAGTGTGGCGAGGTCTGCCTCATCTCCACGTGAAGAGGAGCTGTGCTTCCTGCGCTTTCGATGTCTTCGGCCTCGCTCGACACAGCTGTGTAGCCAGTCCGACTTGCTGTCGAGTTCACAGCGTCTCTGCTGAAACAGAGCGCGGAGCAGAGAATGACCAGAGTACCCGCTAGTAAGCCAACATTTGCTGTCATTTTCGAGTCGATGAACAAGTAGGTGATGACCAGGCTGATGAGGATAGCGAGCGACGAGGCAAACGTCTTTGCTATGCTGTCCACCCACTTGACCGATGCGGAGACCAGCAACCCTCCTGCAGCGTTGAGGATGACGACCGACCAAGCCATCAGTCCGAAGCCTCGCATGGGGTTCCAACCAGACTGCAGGCCGTTTGCCGAGTACTCGATCGACCTGGAAGCTGCATGCAAGCCTTCCAAGCAGACCATGACGAGCGCTGGTACAATGCTGAAGCAAGACATGTGAAAGTTGCTGGCAAATATACTGGTCGTCGATCGCTTGAGGATCTTTTCGGTAAGCACCCCTGCAAATCCGGAGAGGGTGCAGCCCATCACGACCGCAGC